TTTTTTTTTTTTTTTTTTTTCTTTTCAGCTTCTTGACATGTAAGACGTGTTTTATTCTTTTGTTGCTTTATTGCCTGCTTTGGTTGTACTATGGTTACAAGATATTCAGGGTCTTGGTGATGTGCAAATTGATTAATATCTGCTGTACTCGAAGGTTTATGCTATGTATGCTGCCCTATTTAATATATGCCGGTCCTGCGTCTTCCACTCGATTCCTTGGATTTACTCGTCCTTCTCAGAGCTACTACCACCGTACTGCATCGACACCGCCATGCGCTCCAGCATCTCCTCCCTCCATCCCCAGCCAAGAGCAAAAGTGGCACCCGGTCCCAACACAAAAGTCGACGCGGCACACGCCCCGACAGCCTTCCACCAGGAGAACGTTGCTTCGGACCGCGCTTGCTGTCGCTGCTGCAACTCCCGGAACCTCAGCGCCAGCCACACGAACCCGCTCGCCATGGAGATGACCTGGTCATACTGCAGGACTCGCGCGATTCCCTGCGGGAACGAGGTCACGGGAGCGAGGTGCTCCGCCAGACCCGGGAAGAAGAGGCTGGCCATGGAGGCGCCCCGGGGCTTGGTGAGGCGCGTGTAGATGAAGGTGAGACCGGAGATGAGGGCGAGGGTGCGGTAGAAGAACCGCACGGTGCGGATGTTTCTCCTGCGCGTCTTGCGACGAGCGTCCGGGTCGGCCGGTGGCGGGGCGGGGAAAAGGCGCCTCGTGAGGAGGGCGATCGGGAGCTGGAGGAGGGGCACCGTTACGGGGAAGAGTTGCCATATGGCATTGTACCAGCGTCGGGTTTCGACGGTGCGGGGGATGAAGTTGGCGTAGGTGGTGAGGTGGTAGCTGCCTAGGAGGGAGATCAGCAAGGATCCCGTCGTGGACGGGTCGATAATGCGGTTATGGCCGGGGAGAATGCGACCGAGGGGTGCGGTGATGTATTCGGCTGCGTAGTAGAGAGGGGCTATCATGCCGATTCCGAAGAATTGGAAGGCGACGCCGGCGGTTATGGGTCTATGGAGACGCAAGATTAGGTGCTGCTGGGTTGAGAAGATAGGGATGCTTACAGTAGCACTTTGTACCATGACTCTGCTCCGCGGAAGCTCTCCAAGAGCCAAATGCCATAAACCGGGCCTAGGTCGGTCATGAACGACAGCATCTGAAGCCGCGAATTGGGGTCGGTCCCGCTGATCGAGGGTAAAAAGCAGAGAATCATGGGTCGGAGGAGGTTGTCCAGAAACGGAACGTGGTAGACCGGCTTGGCCACGCTGATGGCTTCACCATTGCTGGCGGTCCAGGTTCCTTGGCTGATCTGTGTAATCAGGTATGGCATGAACTTTTGGAGCACGGCCCCCATGGTCGCGCTCGCAGCAGCGTAACAGCCCACCAAAGGAGCGGTCCAAAGAGCTCGCTTCCAGGCCTTATCCGCGGGGGTGTAAGGGTAGCTGTCAGTGTACGGCATGGTGCCCTGTAACGACCTTGCCGGGACTGGCTCGCAGTCGAGCTTGACGGCTCCAGCCATATTTTTGGAGTTGAGATCCATCAGGTAGCGGCCAACGTGTGGAAGTACTCTGAGTGCAATGAATTTATATTTTGGGGACGCCAAAGACTCAATGCGAGTCAAATCACCAGCGGCAGAATATATGGCGGGAAGACGAGCAAGTCGGGCTTCCTCCCATCCCTTTAAACAGCGGTCAATCTCACCGACAGGAATTCGCTCCTCGGCCGATCTTTGTCTCAAGGTGGCTAAGCTATTGGCTAAAGACGCGGCACTCTCAATAGCACTCATTCCGCCCTGGCCCAGGTTGGGGGTCATCTGTGCAATCAGCGAATTAGCGACACTACCACGTTATAGCTCTCGGCTCAGCATACCTTGTGAATCGAGTCACCAATACAGACAAAGCGGTCCATGCACCAGTGCTTGAAAAGAGCCTCTTCCAGAGGAACCATTGTTCGTGTTATCGTTCTTTGAACCACCTCGGAGAATGGCACGGTATCGGTGACCGGCTTGTCTAGGTAGGCTGCTATGTGCTTTTCGAGATCGTCCTGGCTATACCGAGGGGTCTCGTTGCCTGTGTAGACCTGATCCATCTTGGTGAAGAAGAACCAGTAGACGCGCCCACCCTTGCTTGAGATCACCAAGAATGACCAATTCTCGCCATATGTCCGATGAAGAAGCCCCGGTTCCAGTCCCGGGGTTGGCTGCGAGATGCCGAACACACAGTTATACTCGGACTTCATCCCTATACCCGACAAGGGGACGTATCAGTACAGGCTTCCAATCCCAGAAGCGAGGTCGCATACGTGTTCTTTCCTCCGCGGTCTCATTGATGAGCCCGCGAGTTTCCATATAATCCCACATCTGGTACCGGATGGTACTCCTAACGCCATCTGCACCCACGACCAAGTCTCCCTCGAAAGTGGTGTCATCTTCACAGTGTACCACCACCTTCTCGGGCAGGTGGTCCACTTTTGTCACTCTCTTGTTGAGAAATACCCGATCTTGCGTAGACCCTAGATGCTTGTAAAGGACTGCGAGAACCGCCTGGCGATCGAGAAATGCTACCGGGTACCCATGTCTGATTTCCCGTCAGCGGAGTGATCACATATCACCTCTCACAAAGTCGCAGCAGAGAGATGTTGGATGGGGCACGCGAATAACCTACCTCTCTAAGACGAGGCGCAGGTCGATCGACTCGTTGATGAGCTTGCCGCTATCGGACCAGATGAGCTCTCTATGGAGCGGCTCCACGAGATCATAAATGTCGTCGAAAACACCGATCTGATCGAAGATGCGACTGCCATTCGGGCTAAGGCCAATAGATGCACCTACCTGAGGCGCGATGTCATCGTGGGACTCCAAGACAACAAAGTCAATGTTGTTTCGGAGAAGGGAGTGGGCAAGTGTGAGGCCGGCGATGGAGCCACCCACTATGACTACGCGGAACTTGGATTGAGAGATCTTCTCCATGGTGAAGGTGATGGGTAGCCCACCTATTGTGTGCAGAAAGTGACGACCTGATTTCGAGTAGGTATGAGGAGGGCGGGCAAGCGCAATGTATAAATACTAACACCAATACTACTGTGATGGTTTTAAGAGGTTGCACTCCAAACACCGGCGGCTTCATTGTCTACGACGATCGCAAGGGGGCAGATGAAGCTCTGTCGAGGAAAAAAGTGGACTTCAAATTCCTCTAGATTAGGTAGAGATAAGTTGAGGACGGGCCAGACGAGTCAAGCCAATGAGTGCTGGAGTCTAGTCTGCACGCTAAGGGGATGGCAGAAGCTGCGTGTCCACCGCAACAAATAGCAACCACCATCGCACTCCTAAACCCCATTTTGCTGTCATGGCGTGATTATGGCACCCATTCAAGAGGCATCACGTTTCCCCCCACAATACCCAAATACAACATCGTAATTTCGATATGCCGAGGAGTGCTCGAGCTCCCTTGAGCCTAATCATATGCATTGGCCGGCCTTACCGATGGAATGCAAACTTTGCGGTGAGATGGCGGTGATTCCCGCATCTGGGCGTCAGTGAGATCCAGACATTATGAGACATCAAAAGGCAGACTCGGGTCACCATCCGCAAACGGACAACGCCATATGCGCTTTCATTTTCAATGTTCTCATTGCTGACAGTGGTGGCAGAATTCTATCCGCGAGAAGTCACTCTCCAATGATTGGCTGTGTACACAATGACATTTCAATTGTTGGGTAGGCCGCCTTGCCGGTAGATACGATACAATAACGTCAGTTTACTAGGTATGCATGTCGACCGTTGTCCGAGGGGGGAGCGGGAACAAATGGACGAAGCATAGCCCATCAGCCGTGCAGCACTAATGTAAAAGTATCCCTTAACCCCACCTGGGCGACGTGCGGCTGTGGTGCTGAGGGTGAAATGTGACTGGGTGGTTCGGGTGCTAGAGCCCACATGGTTTATCCGCACTTGGCATCCAGCTCGCGAGGCTGAGGGAATGTTGCTCTGGCTCCTCGTGAGTGAGCCTTATTCTCATTGGACGAGTCGTCTGTTAGTCTAGATGTGGGGACTTATGTTGCCAAACGTAACTGTCATGATGCCAGGTCAGTACGGGAGAATGGCAAAGAGGTTGCTGTAAATGTGGGCGACATCGGGATGAGCGAGTGGTTGATTAGGGTGTCTTGAGGAGATTCAGGGTTCTGTGGATAAGAGCGAGCGCTGCCCATGACTACTGGGTTGTTTTTGCTCTTATAATCAAGGTCTCTCCGGACAAATATCAATTGGCCGGATGGTGTAGTTGGTTATCACGTATCGTTAACACCGATAAGGTCCTGGGATCGAGCCCCAGTCTGGTCATCACTTTTTGCACACACAGGCTTGCCACTGTTACTGATGCTCTTTTTACCCTCAAGATTGAGGCGATCTACAAGGCAAGACGTAGTCCCAAGAACTGGCATGGTCAAAGCAACCCTCTCCCCAAGCGCTCAGCTTTCAACGTGAGCAGATTGATTTTGAACATGCGAGAACAATAGGGCACAAGTGAGTAGCTCACATCGGAACCAGCAAGGCCCGAACATGGGCATTGTACTTTTACGATATGTTGTATGACTGTCCGTTGGTAATCCCAATCTCCAATGCCAACCTATGTTGTATGTGTGATAGCATTCTTTTATATACAAAGAAAATGACAAAAAAAATATCAGCAACACAGCATGGTTGTAGGCATGGGCACATGCCTGTAAGTGCAAAAAGAGATGACCAGACTGGGGCTCGATCCCAGGACCTTATCGGTGTTAACGATACGTGATAACCAACTACACCATCCGGCCTCCTTGTAGAGTCACATTGACAATGTGTTATAGAACCTAAAAATCTTGAACATACCTATCATCTTCGAGGCAGCCATAGACTTAGTGTTGTGGTAGCTTCAGAGTATTTATTGCTATTCTTTCCAAACCATGTCCTTTAGACTCTTTCCCCGTTTTTACTTCAATTCTACACCCCGATCGCGAAGTATACCAACTAGAAGCTCCCTACGCCACAGATGTTTCGATGGCTCAGACCCATGGATTGGAGGCGTATATATTTTCGGCCCGGGATCCGAATTTGCTGTATGAGCCACCGTTGTCCCGGAGAAACACAGGCGCAAATTACTTCACCCATGACTGAACGATGATAAGACACCGACATCAACCACCAAAGGATTACAGATGTGGCCCAAGCACCAAGACAACATGGAAAATCAAGATACAATTACCTCGGTGTCTGCCCGAGAACCCCCCCTCCGACTCATTCAAGCAATGGAGACCCACCCAGCGAAGACACTGGAGCCTTATTCCAGCATACAATAGCAGGCGGACAAGAGAGATAGAGACAATATTGTCATATCGGGACCACACGACCTCGTATACAGCGAAGGCAATATGCATCTCCAATAGACCACCCGCGCCGAAAAGGTGAGTCGCTGTATGAGCTGAGGTGCCGCAACCATACTTAACCATGATGAGTAGTTCGACCTAGGAAAGCCGGACTTGAGTAGGAACAAGCATGGTAGCCAGAAGCTGAAGGTATATAGAAAAGCCACAAGGAAGCAGTAAAAACAATGCTTCTCTTGTACCAATTGCTGTCTTGATATTTAGACTCTTAGCATAAGCACAGAGCCTTCAACAACTAAGTCCGATGTGGTGTAACGGCTAACATCGCCGTCTTTCACACGGCAGCTCGGGGTTCGATTCCCCGCATCGGAGTCTTCTTTTTGATTTCTTTTGGTTCTCATTTTGAACTACCTATCGCAACAAGTTAACAATAGACAAGACGCCCAACAGTGACAGACGTAACCAGTACCTGTAGAGAACAAGAAGGGAAGGTCAATCTACGTACCTAGGTAGTACGCAGGTCTCCGGTCGGACCTTCCCACTTGGTACAGCAACATAGAACCCCAGGACTCAGGAATGAGTGCCGCATTCCCCACAGACAGCATCCCCAAACAAGAGAGAGCAGGCGCGCCCCTGCCGATGGATGGAATTGAAAAAACTCATGAAGCACTGGCTACCTCTCTCATCACCTTTAGTGGATACAGAATGTCACAACACTGCCCCACGTACCGCAACTCATGAAGTTTTTAAGTGGATTAATAAACTACATACAATACATGAAAACAGATGCACAGTCGTGATATTGACATAATCAGAGAGGTAAGGAAAAATACAAGAATCGTCAATATGACGCCGGGTATAGCGCCACCAGGAACAAGCACAGTGAAGTAGGATGGTGGGCCAGATATAGCAAAGGTCCGGCACAAGGCAAGGAGAGTCAGTATGTAAATGAAAGGAAGGGTATTTGATGAGTCGTCAAAATGTCGAACAAAGCAGTAGGTATCATGTGGTAAATCTCGGGAAACGCGCGCAACCTTCAACTATCCAAGTATTAGGAAACTCTGCCGGCAAAAATGTCGCACAAACTCGCTAATCTGTAATAGAATATCGCCCCACCAACCAGCGTCGGGGTGACGATATGAGAATCGAATATGGCATCTTTTGGTCGTTTGGGTCTTTTCGGTCTCTCTCCAAAACTCGTAGAATGTAGCCTGCGATTTGCTCAATCGATCATCATTCGAGTAGGCACCTGGCCAGAAGAGATATTGGAGGACAGCTCAGTGGTCTTGCCCTCTTTGTTCTGCGTCTTCTTCTTGTGTACATGTTGCTTCAGGCCCTTGTGGAAGTTGTGCATACACACACAGGCGTTGATAATGGTGATGACGATGAGCACAAGGGTGATGACGGCGAAGAATGTCAAAGAGCGCCGAGCAGTCAAATATAGGTCATAAGTACCAGGCTGGTACATCCGGACTAGCTTGAACAAGAAATAGGCCATGGCCGCGAAGTAAAGGAGCTAGCGAAACGGTCAGCTAATGGTCTGCGGGGCTTGATCGAGTACCATTGAAACATACAATGACAACAATCATGCCGATCGAACTTTCGCGCCGCACGAAGAAGGCCGCGCAGATCAGAATTATAATCGTCACGGGAATGGCAGCTAGTGTAAGGGCGAATTCTATGTCGGTCTTATTCGTGACGATAACGACGAATTGAACGGTGAAACCAAGGAAGAAGAAGAAGTCGAACTTCAGAAGCGAGATATAGATCTAACATGAATGTAAGCATGGGCGCCGCGCGTAACCCTTGTACGAGCACAAACCTGATAAGTCAGATACCGGCGCTTCATTCGCAGATCGGCGCTGATATGTTTGTAGATAGACCATGCGAACTCGTCGTATAGTTTCCAGGCAACGATCACCATCAAAATTGAACCCATAGCCACAACGCAGGGGATGATGATAAGGAAAGGCTCTGTTTCTCCCCAGACATTTTCCGCAATAGCACCATTGTCCCAGAGAATTTGTACAGCATCGCGAATTTGTTGCACCTGCACGGCCCCGTAAATCAACAACCCGATATTGCACATGCACAGTCCGATGACCTGAATAGTGTTCTTAAGGCGTAGCGCATCGTAAACGAGAATCAGCTCATAGATGAACCCGAAGCTATAGAGGGCTAGGAAGGTTGGAATGGGTTTTGAGGCAGTCGTCGTGGCGGCCGATGGGAGCAGTTGGACCTGGAAATTTACGAAAATATAACTTTTGCGAAAAGATTAGCTTCGGACCCGACAGTTTGAACATGGAGACTATTTGCACATACCACTCCAGGGCGAGTGTAATGATCGTTTGGACAAGGGTGACAATGCAGAAAGACCACGTCCACAGAGAATTGGGGCGGTACATCCTGTGTCGCTTTGGGGGATCCGGAGGAACGTTTGTGTATCCTTCCCGTCCACGAAAACCACGCCGAAAGGACGGATCAAAAGAGCCCCCCAGGAGGGAGGCCCGCGATGTGTTGGAATAAATTTTGACGAAGTGCTCCGTGACGGAGCTGGTGTCCGTCGGAGGATCGGGATCTGGATACAATATGCTGGTTTCACCACCAAATGGCGGCGTTTTTCTTTTCGGGAGAAGATCGGAAAGTCGGAGGTCGAGGTGACGATGAGTGCTGTTTTGGCTGTCGCGATCCCCAAACTCTCAGATATGTCGCTTTGCCTGGAAAGACTCTAGGTGGTTCAGGAGGTGAAATCTCGATAATGACCGGTACGGTGACGATAGGATCCCAGGCGCATAAGCCACACCAGATCCCCTGAAAATCAGTCTAGACCAGATGTAGAGCAGTCCAGGAGGTTGGGCTGCGAGTGGAAAGGAAAGCGTCGAGATCTCTAGAGGCGATGTGTTTGGTTACTAGGCCGCGTGAGAAAAGTCGCGACGGAGATTTGGCGGGGAGGCTCAGTCCGGTGGTCGATGGCTCGGGACTGGTGGAGGACCAGGCTGGCTGGGTGTAAGGCTGAGCACATGCAGGGTCACGAGTCAGTTTGGTGTGTCGGTTTCAGCCGGGAATGAGGGGGGTGTGGGTGGGAGGGAGAAAGAGAACGAGAGACTAGTTGTGAAAGAAAGACTGATGGGATAAGAAACGAGTGTTGGAGAAATAGGAAGGAGAAGAGGAAGAGGTGCTGAGTGTTGAAGATGAGGGACAGGTGGAGGATAACAGAAGACGGGGGGGGGGGGGATGGAGTGGGGGGGAAGGG